TAAACACAACTGTGAGTAGTTTGTGGCAGCAAAATGCTTTTGCCTGGTGTTATAAGAGATATTAATTAAAAGGATTCTAATTTTCTTCTCCTTAAATTATGCCAGACTTCATTAGTTGGACTAACCATATGGAGCCTGTTGGAAAACTGCTATTGCTCTTATCCTTGGCTATTAAGTGAACAGGACCAGGGAAAGAACACAAGTTGTTCTGTTATTTAATATAAAGTTACATTTATGGTATTGTTGAATCACAGTGTCAACTAAACCTCAGTGTGAAATTCCAAACTGATGGACTGTGGGGGCAAACACACCCAAGAGCAAAGCTCAACATAATGTTTATTTCAGACTTACAGCCAGGTATGCACATTTAGCACTCAAAGTGACCTTATCATCACAGAAGTCAAACCAGGATTTTGATGAAATAGTAAACCAGTCAGAAAAACAAATGAAGTATGCTGACTCCAACAGGGAAGGAGATTTGGGGGATAAGGGGAATAGGAAGAAGAAGGGCTAAGTAGTCCTTCATTTATTTCACTAAGCTTGAAATTTGATCTGCACTACCAGATTATTTGCCTGGCTGGAGTCCAATTCACTTCAACTTTGAGAGATCAGGCCTTAATTAGCAAGCATTTCAGTGAAAGCAGAGTGCTAATGGGAAGTGTAAAGGTTGCATCTAAAAAGCAAGGAAGAGAGAGATCACTGCAGCTGGGAGAGAGGGATCATCACCTGTGTGCTTGTTGTTGACATGAGCCTTCATATCTGCCTCTTCCATAGTGACAAAATCACATGCTGTGCAGCAAATGGAGAACATCCACTGCTCTTTATCCACGTGGAGGGACATATGACTGACAAACTGGACATTCATCTCCGTCTCAAACCCACACACATGACAGCTGCAGGCAGAAGGGAACTCAAGAGTAAGAAACATTAAAAAACAAACCACAAACAGAAGCGTGTTGCCCTTCCCCGAATTTGCCAGAGAAAACTCACTGCGCGGATTTCTGCTCTTCCTCACTGCTGAATGTTCACTGCAAAATTCTTTTGTCTGCTGAACTGCCTTTGAACTGATGGCCATGCCAACGTGATTAAGGGCAGGCACAATGCAACAATCCTGTACATGCTATAATGATGCTAAATAATCATAAAGTTAATTAAAAACTACAGATTCCAGATGCTGTGCATCACCTAGCTGGTTCCTTTGGGCAATAAGAGGCATTGCAGCTTTGCCAAGATGTTTAGTACAGCTGATACACTGACAAACGCAGAGCTTGCTGCACACTCCAGGAGTGATTTTCAAGCCCTGGAATGGTTCCCATGCCAAACTGGGATCTTGTGCAAAACTGCCTGGCAGTTTCAGTGTAAGCAAGTAAAAATGGGTTCAAACATTTCTTATGCTTGACTGGAAAACAGCAGTCATCAGCTATGCAAATAATTAGGAGGGATACAGATTTTGCAGCCAGCACATAAACAGAGTGATACTGAGAGGCAATGGGAAGGACCCTTTAATTTAACTTTTTTTGCAGAGTCCTCCTCTTGCTTTGATTAGGCCATTAACATTTAAAGCAAGCCAAAAAAGATTAAAAAAGGCATATACTCTAGGGCACTATTTTGCTTTCCCAGGGGGAAGGACTAGATAATCTAATCCAGCAGGTCTCATTTATTTCTTACTTCTATGATTTTGTAATTAAATCTGCTCTTGGCACTTTGACTAAAACTAAGAGTGATTTGGTAATCTGCTTGGCCACTAGAGTGCACATCACAGTTTGCAGAGTGCACATCAGTGCACATGCAACAAGGAGAACGTCTAAATATCCATTTTCTCCAGGCAGTTCCTTTTAATTTTTCAGGCAAATTCTCCTAGATGTTTTCTTTCTTTGGCCATGTTGGTCACTGAATGTATACACCTCCAGCAAATGGAGGAAATCTGGATATTGATATAACAATTCTTATTATACTTTAATTGATTTCATAGATTGACTGAAAACAAGGGAGCTGTCAGAGGCAACTGGAAGCACAGTGCTTTAAATTTCATAGAATCACAGAATCATGGAATCAGCTGGGTTGGAAAAGACCTCTGAGATCATCAAGTCCAACCCCTGATCCACTGCCACTGTGGTTGCTAGACCATGGCACTCAGTGCCACATCCGGTCTCATCTTAAAATCCTCCAGGGATGGAGAATCCACCACTTCCCTGGGCAGCCCATTCCAATGCCTGATTACCCTCTCTGTAAAAACTTTTTTCCTAATATCCAACCTAAACCTCCCCTGGCACAGCTTAAGACTGTGGCCTCTTGTCCTACTGCTGGTTGCCTGGGAGAAGAGACCAACCCCCACCTGGCTACAACCTCCTTTCAGGGAGTTGTAGAGAGTGATGAGGTCTCCCTTGAGCCTCCTCTTTTCCAGGCTGAACAACCCCAGCTCCCTCAGCCTCTCCTCATCGGACTTGTGCTCCAGTCCCTTCCCTAGCCTTGTTGCTCTTCTCTGGACCTGCTCCAGCACCTCAATGTCCTTCCTGAACTGAGGGGCCCAGAACTGGACACAGTACTTGAGGTGTGGCCTCAGCAGTGCTGAGTACAGGGGAAGAATCACTTCTCTGGTTCTGCTGGCCACACTGTTCCTGATCCAGGCCAGGATGCCATTGGCCTTCTTGGCCACCTGGGCACACTGCTGGCTCAGAATCCGTGAATCTTTGTATACGGCAGGGTGTTTCCAAACACAAAACTTAAATGAACACTGCATAAAGAGTTAAAGACACTTTGAAGAGCCCAGCTGCCTCACAAAGCCACTTGAAAAAACCAACCCCATGCCAAAGCCCAGACTCCTTCCCAATGGCCAGCCAAGTCAAACAGCACAAGGCAGCCAGCGAGGTTTTTGCTGCTCAGCCTAAGCTGGGTGAGGGCAAGACAAATACTTCCATCATGGTTCTACCCTGCAACACCAGAAGGGTGGCCCTGCAACGTGCCCTGAGCAGGCAGATAAGAGTGTCTGGTGCCCAGCCCTTGCCTGGGTCCTCACCTGTAGTAATAAGGGTGCTTCTTCCCATCGCTGCCTTCGGACGTGACAGCGCTGACGATGTCCTCGGTGTCTGTGCTCACCAGCTTCACGGAGTGCACAGTCAGGTGCTGGTTCAGGTTAGCACGGCACTTAGCAGCATAGGGGCACAAGTGGCATTTGTATTTTCTCTCTTCTGGAAAAGAAGAGATAAACCCCTAAATGTGCACCTCGTTTTGGAGCCAGCTGCTTTTAAAGCTGCCAGTAACCGAGCACGCATTCCTTTGGGTTTCTCTGAGCAGCTTTCGGGATGAGGTACTTTGGAAGCTCGACATTTTAAAAGCTTATAGGAGTTCATAGCAATTACTCAGAAAAAAACTAATTTGAAGGCAGTTTGGCGCTAGTTTTTTTAATTTGCTCTACCATTTGTAGTCAGATAATATAAAACTTTATAAACTGGAAAACTGGGGCAACTGCTGCTCTGAGAGCTGCAGCAAAGCCAGCGGAGAAACAGGTCAATAGTCTCAAACTACTTGCTTTACCTAGCATCTTTATAGGATTTTTGGGCTTAGTAATTGTTGAGGTTGCCCATGTGATCACTTGCAGTGATCACTGACAGTTGATGATTTTGTATTAAAAGCTAAGGTGATACTGAGAGGCAATGAAAAGGATCCTTTAATTTAACTTTAAAGGGGAGGAAAGGTAACACTGTATCATTAGTCCAGTTCCAAACATAAAAACCTCATTTAAAGAACAGTTAAAAAAATTAAATTCATCATGAGTTTCTGATGCTTCACAATTTAATTATTTTTTTTTTATTTTACATTAAACATTTCTAAGACCTGGCAGCACAGTTTTTGTATGTGTGCCAGGCTGTATTTTGCGGAGAGTTGATTAAAATAACCAAACATTACATCACCTTTTACAACCTTTTCCTCTGAGAATCTGCTGCTCTAAATTTGAAATATACTGCTACAAGTGCTAGGGGAGAGGCATTCAGTAGAGCAGCTTAGGACCAAGGAAACCCCAAGAGGTCATGGAACAGAGCATCTGAACCTTCTCAGCACGGCTGTACTAGATGGCAGAACATACACTGGCATTATACCAACAGTATTTTTCAGCAGTACATAGGAAATTCTCGCTTTCAAGTCTTATTTTGTGCTGTGCACCTCATCAGGCTGTCAGAGAGCATCTTCTGTATATAAGCTCTGTTTGTCTCAGTTGATTTGAAGCTGATTCACTTTAAGAAAGTTGATACGGGGCAGAAGCAGCCCCTGTTCCTCTGAGAACTGTAGGATGGGAGCAAAGATGAATGAGACATTAAATCCTTTCAGTTTCACAGGTCTGAAACACCATGGCCAAATCTTTTGTTCAGTGACATTTAAAAAGCTCATCAGGTGAATGATGTGTCTGTCCAAAAAAACCCCAAACCTGTCCCCATAAAAGGCTGTGCCTTCTCTTCAAAACTCCAGGCTTGGTTAACCAGTTGGTATCTACAGACTGGTGTACTGGAACCTGAACTAAGTCAAATTTACACATTTTGAAAGGATAAATTACAAACAGACTGCAAAGAAATACAATGTCATTTAACTCCCTAAATACCACTCTGACATTCTGTCCTGGTACTGCTCTTGGTTCTGCTCTAAGTGGGAGGAGCCAGGGATGGCTCACACACTCTTCTGCTTACCTTCTTTCCCTTCCCCTTAAACAAACAGTGATGAACACACAGAATTCCTCAGTGCTAGAACAACCAAAAAGCGTTGGCTCACCTGTGTGCAGTGAGAGATGCCGGGACAGAGTCTGCTGTCGACCAAACACTTTTCCACACACGTCGCAGGGAAAGAGCTGGTCGTTAAATTTCCAAGACGGCAATCCATTTCCCACCTCCAGCCCCAGCTTTTCCGTTTCTATGCCAAAAAACACATAAAGTTCTGTCTTAAGAACGCTGAAGACCTGCAGTTTTCATTCAGTAGTGCCCTGTAGGTGTCATGTAAAATGTAACTCTTTGGCTGCATGCTGTGTGATCTGGCACATGAGTTCACGTAAAAAGGAAACTCCTAATGATGGAAAGGAAATGAATCTTTCATACAGCACCTTTCATACATACTCTAAAGCACAATGCTTAGCCAAAGTGCTCTGGACACAGGCATAGTCAAAGAGTTGAACCAGATTACGTAAAGAGAGAAAGCCAAGAGTGAGCAAGGTTAAACTCTAATTATTAAACTCTAATTATTAAACTGTAATTATGCTTTTGTGGAAAGACCACTGCTTTGTCTTTTCCAGTCACCCACCTTTGCCTGGTGCATGAAGAAGGCTTGGTCTGAGATTTTTTTACACTGGATTATTAGTCATGGCTGAAGGAAGATTTCCAGACTGTTTCTTTTCTACTGACACAGCAATTTTTGCTCCACAGAATTATAGAATCATTTAGGTTGGAAAAGACCTCCAAGATCATTGAGTCCAACCATTAGCCTAACACTGCCAGGTCCTTAAGTGTCACATCGACATGTACATGAGCAGTCTGTCACTGAAGACCAGAAGACTGCTCAGAAAAACATTAAAAAAAGAAGACAGCACATCAGTGTGTGGCTGGCATCCTAGGCGAGCTCTACCCAGCACCTGCTGTCCTCAGGCATCAAAATCCCCAGCAGCTTAGAGGGCCATCTACTGAAAAACTGCAACTCAGAGCGAGCCATTATCTTTAAAGAAGTGATTTTAATTGTTTCAGGAACAGAGAGAGTCTGCAATACAAAAAAAAAAGAAACTCCACAGAGCACAAAGCACAGATATGAAGGCACTCTGTAAGGAAGTAGAGAGAAAAGGACTGAGAATGAGGAAAAGGAAAAAAGGTACACAGTGCTTCAAGAAGTTGAAAGCATGGCCAGTTTCCATTTGGACAGAAGAGAGCAGAGAGCAGACAGAGACTAGGGAAAGCAGTGGAACTACTTAAATCAGTCAGAGAAACAGTATCAGCAAGTCTTGAGCAAAAAAATACTCTGTGCAAGAGTCCTGTTGCCTGAGGAGAACGGACTGCTGTTGTAGGAGGTGCACAAAACCACAGGGGTACTCTGCAGCTTTCCAAACACAGCAGCCAGTGGCGAGGGGGCTTGTTGTAAAACCTATTTCTGGTAAAAGACCTTCCAGTTCCACTGGAATGAAAGTTGCCACATGCAGAGCACCCTCCTCCAAACTGACACCACCTGTGGGATCACTGCCCAGAACTATCTCCATCACTGCACGTGCACAGGCCATGATGGAGGAAAACCACTTGTCTGGGATTTTCATTTAAACTGTGTGAGGAAAAGGAGCTGGGGTCAGGAGTCCAAAAACACCTTATTGAGCGTAATTTACTTGTTGTGGAGGCTGGCACAAACCAGCAAAATCTTCATCCAATGAAGCACTGAGGGATAAACATCTCCCTTGTATCAGCAAACCCTCATTTACAGTCTCCCACCACTGCAAATGTGACTGCCATGACTGAAAGAGCCTCTCCTTCACAGAGAGCTGTCCAGATGACTCCACTGTGGTTTAGGCAAAGAGCTGTCAAATACTGTATTTAATTTAAGCAATAATAAAAACAATGCCTCATTTGGGGCAGAGAGTCCACATAGCAATCTCAGCAAATTTCAGGATGGTCATACTTGCCAGCCCCTTTTCTGCTGCTGTTACATTCTCCTGTGACCCTGAAATATGTACAATATTCACACCAGAGGAATTGTGAGGCACCTCTGAGCGCTACCAACCAACAACATATTTTTCTTAAAAGAATTTCTAGCTAGAAAACAAGCTCTGCCTATTCAAAATAGTGATTTTGTGAAATTAAAAAGAAAGACACCCCCCATCCCCTGAGGGCTTTAAGTGACCCATAACCTCCAAGAACTTCAATAAAGAACGATTCTTTTTGTTACTATCCTTGAGTTCCAAACAATGGAAAAATCTCTGTGCTAATGGTACAGATATTTTAGTGGAGATTTTTGAGTACATAATCAAAACAGTGCTTCAAAAGAGGAAAATAGTAATAATTATAAGAGAAGGTCACAAGGGTGTAGGTTGCTTCAATATGGTCACAACAAAAATGAATTAATTGGGAGACATACCAAACAAGCAAGCTCAATTAAGTAAATAAGTCTCTTAACAATTCATTTCAGCATAAGTCATCAGCCCTCTTTTATATTTTACGAAAAAGAAATAAAATATCCTGGGAAGCTCACAGGAAGCTTGAAAAATAGCAGCTTTCTGATTACCTTGAGCTGGTGAAAGCTAGTCCTTTGCAAAGCTCCTGCATATTTTTCACTGATGAAAAGAGGATACTGTAGGTGTTTTGAAAGTTCTTCTGTTTACTTTAAAGATTCATTCCTGGAGTCCTTAACTACAGTGCTCCTTTCTTCACTTTTGACCAACTATTCTCCCTGTAGCAAAGTGCCTTTTCTGTTCAGCAAGGCTCTTAGCTTGTTCATGGCAAATGGGAGTTGGTGTCTGTTGCAAGAGGAGCCTCAGCACTCTGTGAGAGACTTCTCAGCTCCAAGAAAAACCACCTACTTCCACCCATCTTACCCTCTGGGCAGCTTTGTCTGCAGCCTGGAAACTGGAGCTCTGTGTCCATACAGTGGTCTAGAAATCTTCCCAGAACATGCCCAGGAACTGACCTCGCCAGTGACCTGCAATATCATGGGAGCCAACCTCCACATTCAGTCCTTGGGCTCTATCTCTAATTAATGCTGGGGAATGGTGTTTTCTGCGAAGTGAGGACAGGTCCAGTGACTCTGAGACCATAACACTGGTTTGTGCACAGTGTTCCAAAGGTTTGTGCATCCCAAAGCCTTCTACCAAGGCAGTCAGCATCGTCATCCTTTAAGAATACCTTACACTGGCCAGGAAGAAGACAGACTGGGACCAACTAAAGTGAAATAATAAATTACCACTGTGAGAGATGTCTCATAGAAATCCATCTTTCACCATGACATCCCTATCCTAAAATAAAGAGGAAAACAAAAAAAAAACAGCCAAACAAAAAAGGACTTGATTTCTGCTTTAAATTTCAAAACTTCTCTGTTAGAAAAGCACACATGACAAAATAATATTGAACTTATTAAGTAATATTAAGTAATATTAAGTCTATTAAGTAATAGACTGCATTTCTGTATGGGTTTTGGAGTTTAAAACAAAATATGCTTAGTAAAATGAAAGGCCTCCAAGTTCTCCAGTACATCACTAAAAAGAAACAAAGACAGAAAAGAAACTCAGTATATTACAGGCTAGTGATAGAATTATTTTGATATAATTTTGCATAGAATATTTAAGAAGTAAGACTTTTACGTAAAATTTAATTAAATATGGTGAAATAGATCTTTATGGATACCTTTCCTGCCCTTCTGCATCACCTGGTGTCATTTCCCTACTAACCCTAAGTCAGCTTCCTAATGAGTAGCTGTGTAAGGCTGATTGTCCAAGAAGGGGTTAGGAACTGCCAGGACTGTCACCACCTGTGTTTTCCCTGAGGTGAGGACAATGTGGACATAAGTTGCAGAAATATTGTTCTGTCCCTCCTCTTGGCCCTCCAAATAGATTAATTTCTGGCAAACAAAGCACAGTAGCTTGAAAGAGTTACTATTTCCCCCTTTCCTAAGCTCTTGGGCATAACTGCACACACACACACTTATTTTCAATTTTCACATTCAGTGATTCTTTTTTTCCTCTTCTCCTCAAACTGGTAATATAAATATGGAGAGTGTATAACCACCCCTTCTGACAAGTCTTTACCCTGTCTTTTGTCAAGATATGCTTGGAGAAGGATACCATATCTGGTTGAAGCTGTAACTGAAGAAGAGGACAAAGTGTGACCTGAATACATAAGTAACTGTTTGGAGTCACCAATGCAGCCTTGTGACTGCTGGTGGCTGTCAGGCACAAAAAGTTCCCAGGGACTGACTTTGGACTCATATGTGGTACTTTGTTTACTTATTTTCTTTTACTTAGCTTATGTATTTTTCTATTACTGCTTCACAGTGTTTGATCCTACATTATGTTTTAATCTGCTTTTCAATGCCACGCCTAACTTTCTATCCTTATACTAACAATGGAAAGAATGGAACCACTATTAAAGTGAAAAAGGCAAAGCTAAGAAAACAAACAAAAAGTATGCTTAAGTGTCATTTGAAGAAGATAAATTCATATTTATAACCTTTGCTGGTTTACTGTCTGCTCTCACACCCTATAACTCACTTAAACAGCTGCTTCTCTGTTTTATCTTCACACCTCCCATAGACCTTGGAAGCAACAAAATCCACAAGGGTGGTTCCTTATAGTCAGATGGAATCCTACAGATATAAACTGATTGTCCTTTGCAATAAGTATTCTTTAAAGAGATGGAAGTGAGAGGTGCTGGTAAGTCTTAACAAGGAAGGTCGAAATTCATTTTCTCTCCATTCTTCTGGAAGTGTATGTCATAGTTGTATTTTGGGTTATTCAAACAGCTTGACACCACATAGATGGTCAAGAAGATATCAGGTAAGTAATTCTGAAAATTAAATGAACAGAAATCCTGTGAAAATAGAGAGCAGTGTTAGAATATTTTCAATAAATCCTGCTTGCAAGCCAAATGCAATGAAGAAAACAAGTCAGATGTCCAGAAGCTCTGGTGACAGAACCCAGTGTGAGGCTGAGAGCTAAGAGGGAGAGATGGCTAAACTCTGAACATAAGGTGAACTAGGAAAAGGCAGATGACAGATGATACAAAAAGAGAGGAGAGGAGGTGTGTGGTACCTCCCTCTTCATCCTCCAGAAGACAAAACTTGATGCGAAGAGTACAAGGTGCAGAAGGAAGCTCCCATGGAAGAACGTACCTAAAAAATTTTACCAAGCCAGAATATTAATAAACTGACTAAGAAACAGTGCTGAACAAGGTAAC